GAAACGTTGCTTCACTGATCCGAAGGCGTAGCTCACTTGGGTGTTATACTGTGATACCCTTGCTAGCATCAACCTCTTGCAAGATGGTTCTGTGCCACGTATCCAGGTTACCTGCACTTTCCCTCGGACGACAGCCTCCCCTCTTGGAGGGCATTGGAGCGGCTGCACGACGAGGGCCTGGTAGAAAGAGTACTTCCACAGCGTAGCACGTGGTGCTGAAAGTCTGCTGCCACAGATGTATGATTATTTCTTGGCACCTGCGGTGTTATTGTTGCGATTTTCGATGACGGTGCTCGTGCCGGCTGTGACGAGAGTCGTGCTCATGCGGTGTTTTGGTCGCGGCTTTTGTCGTTGTTGTGTCCAGTGCAATGGTTGTCGTTTTGCTCGCCTTCGTCGTAGTCATGTAGTCGTTGCTGTGGTTGTAAAACGATCCAGGCAAAGATGATAGCAAGAGTGCTCATGCGATCCGAGTCGAAGTCCCGGAGCCCCGAAAGCACAAATTCCCAAGCGTGAGACCCCAAAACCCAAGCTGCACTTGCTTGCAGGTCGGTGCCGCCAGCTGGGTCTCAGCAACTTTGGTCAGGACCGGAGCCCCCATCTTCCCCTCTGCACTGCCTTGCGGCCATGCGGCCATGCGTTGGTTTTGGGTTTTCAGTCTTACAGCGAAATTTCGACTTTGAAGCCATCCTGATACGAGCTGTCATGGCCTGGCACTCCCCACCGACAAACCAGACATCCGCATGCCGAAACCTTCAATCCGAGCCTCAAGCTGTGCTTCATTCATAGAATCGCAGGGTGCCACGCTATCGTATTGAGTTGCTTCCAGTAGTATTGACTTGCCAGTCATGTGACGTTTACTGGTTCGTCGCTGCTGGACTAGCCCTCACCTGTTGATGGAGCGGCCCGGGATTCAGAACGAATGCAGTATCGCCAGGGGAAGCCCCGTTTGGATATGATCCGAAACCTCGAACATCCTCAAACACTCACTCTCCAGCGCCAGCTTCAAGCCCCACCACATAAAGCAGGGATCCGCCCTTAATGCCAGACTAGAATAGAAGTTGCAAGAGGCACAGATCGAGGAGCTCGTGCGCCAAGCACGCGTCAAGCCTGCTGCCCTGCAGCATCTCGGCAGTACGGGGAGGACGCCCAAGGCTTTGGACCTAAGACTTTCGCTGAATGGCCGCAGGGATCTTTCAGCAGCTCAGGGCTCTGGGCCCTGATTGGAGAGCCCCGAACTCTTCGATTAGCCGATTAGCCAAGCATAATATGAACTCCTGAAGCAAACGATGCAAGAAGATTTCATTAGGCATGTAAGTCACCAATCGACACTATGAGCTCCAAGCGGAAGGAACTAGAGTCACGGCTCTTCCTAGGATCCAATTTTCTGTCTACGAGCCCTGCAGCCCTGCCTTCCTGCGTTGGCTTCGCGGACAAGGGATAACTGTGCCCAGATTGCAAAGTGCCTTCATCTTCCGAGCTGAAGGGTTCTTGCGTGTCGCGCTGTTGGGGACCCCAACTTGGGGGTCCCTTCAAGGTGCCGATCTAAAGACTAAACCTCGGGGTCAGACCGGGCTTGGAGCTTCAGTGGATATTTCCCTACTTTTCGACTGGAGGCGCTGTACCGGTAGCTTTTTCGCGGCATTTGCAATGGTATATGCTTTTCTGCTCATAACCCATGTCTGCACTCTTGCCTTGCGCGTCCTGCTTGCAAACAGAGTGAGTTGGCTCTTATCTCGCATGCGGGCAGGTTGTGGCGGCCTCATCCCTGAATCCGAATGCGACCTGCAACCTGAACCCGATGCAGGACGCATGTCCTGTTTTCACAATTGCCGTGCAGAGTAGATGTTTTGATGTCTGCGCACGGAGCTTTTGACCAAAACGGGAATTCAAACGAAATTTCGAGTGGCCTTGGTGACCCCGCCCAAAGCCGTCTCTTTTTCCAGATGCCGAATGTATCTAGATCGCCAAGTCAGTATCGAATTCTTTAAACCTTTGTGCACTAGCGCTTTTAAAAGAACAGCCAGGTCTCAGATGGCTCGTGAGTTTTTTCAAAAGGACCCCCACGTCGTCGCGATCGCTTCCAAGCATGGTCGCACCAGCGCCCAGGCAGAGGAACTCGTAGAAGAGCCCCGTTCCTTCAAGGGATATTTCAGGGTTTAGGGAGTCTGGGAGTCTGAGTGGTGACCGATGTGACTGACCTCTGGGTCTTCTTTCCTCCGCAGGTCCTTCTCCGCTGGCTACTGCAGCAGGATGCCACGCGGCCTATTCCTTGAGGGGGGTTAGGGATAAGGCTACAGGACATTTGATATCCCTCGAGTTGAAGCTCCATCCCCAAAGCCTACACTGCCTACACCCAAGCCCAGAGCCTTGACTTCGGCCGTAAGATGCCGTAAGCCCTGAGCTCTTAGAGTTGACAAGTTACTGAATCCGTAAACCCTGAACATACTCAACCCCCCGCACCAGCATGGTGCCAGCCCCAGCCCCAGCACGTCACACGGTAGGTGGCTGTTTTGCCCCGCAGCCGCAGCACCGAGCACATTCGCCAAAACAGCGGGAGGACCCAGAAAGATTGGGGTGGTTAGGGTCCCGTTAACACTCAATTCTTCGAGATTTTGGATCAAGGCTGTTCAGGCAGCAGGGTTTGGGAATGTTGGGTTGAGGGATCTTGGGAAATCTTCATTCGCATCACTAGCCTCATCGTCATTATTAGTTGGTCGACGCCTGGATCTGCCGGACTATCCCAGGCTTAATGAACCTCTTGAAGATGTTGGTTGACTGAGGCGGTTTTCATGTTAACATGTGGACAGGATGCTGGCCAGACGAGCCCTCAATCCTGGGCGCTCTACCCCGTACATGTGGTTCTGAACCTTTTCCTTGCATTGCGCTTTTCCCCCCGTCCTAGGTCAGCTGGATTTCACCCTGAGCGATGGAGAGGTGGCGGTTCTCGGGGCTTTGTCTACGCTTCTTCAGAGCCGCCCAGGCGCTCAGGGGACGCTTCCCAGGGTGTTGGGCGAGGCCCAGGCTCAGGCTTAGCATTTTATTTGAAGTGTGTGGCGTTCAGATGTTCGATGGTGCTGTTAGCTTCGATGTTGCTGATTACTTCGCATGTCCAGGGCTTCTCTGAGCATTTTGCGTGGCTTTTCGGATGGGAATCTTTTCCGGCTTGCTGGGCGGATTATGAAATGCTGCCTGGTCGGTGGGTCCAGTTTTGGTTTGGGGGACTTGGGCTTCATTTAACGGTTTACGATTGGATCCTACATCCTACAAATGCCTCAACCATAAAAACAAGCCTCCCGAATTCCCAGAGTTTGGATGCTGGTTGGGTCGCAGAGGACAGACTGTATCTCCTGCCATCCTGCCTTTCTCAAGCATTGAACTCGAGATGCTCTCAGAGAAATTTGGTTGTTCTGGAGGTTGCATTCTTTGAGTTGCCTATCTTTCTTTTGGATTTCGGGCCGCGGGCGCCCATGAGCTATTGTGGACCGAATAACAGGTTGAAGGCCGTGCCCAGCTTTGTCGGCTTTCCACCAGACATCGGGAGTACCAAGATTTGGAAGGACACCGAATGTAGAACACGGCCCAAAACACCGCCTAAGCCCAAAGTCCATCCGGAGATATCGAAGCTGCCGCCCAAGCCTGGAAGCAGTAAGCCCTGAAACTCTAAGTCGACGAGGAGCTCCCAGACCTGAGAACCTAACACGCCTCAACTTAACACTGAACGCATAGCTGGCCTTCAGAATCTGACTGCATTACTACTACTTTGCACTACTCTCAAGAGCTCTCCACCCTAGTTCCAGCTGTCCCTGAATAAGAGACTAGAAGGCTGGAGCCGTTTGGCCCTCAAGTCTTCGAGCGCTGAACTTCCATCCCCTTTCAGCCTGACGCCCTCGCACCCGGGGAGGCTTCCTGAGACCGGATGGAGCTGCCGACCTCTTTGGCGTAGCGAGTTAAAGTTCCAAACTCCTCTGCGTGCCATGGGGGTTTCATGCGGCGTGGTGGTTTCGTAGAAGCTGACATCAGAATCGAAGAGTTTCGATCGACATTCAGGGGACTTTGTTGTGAACCCGGGTTCGCTGTTGCCGCATGTACTGCAGTTTGGCACGCTTTGGCGCTTGCCCTTTGAAAGATGTAATGCGGTTTTGTTATATCTATTCGTGTTTCTTTGCCCAACACCAGTACAGGCACTACCAATACCAATACTGTTGCGGATGCGCTGGCTGGGGGTCAGGGAGTGGCGGCGCGGGCGATAGCTCCGGGGTTGGGCACCGGCTTTCGTCCGCAAACAGTCCGCGGCGTGCATGGGAGGCCGTTCGTTGCTCCTTGGTGCCCTCTCTGTGTCCCTCCCTCCCCTCTCTGTGTCCCTCCCTCCCTGCCCCCTCACTTGATATGAAGTCAGGTATCAAGGCCAACTGAGTCAAGCAACCGATTCCAAAACAGCTTTCGCACCACTTTTGAGCAATTCCCCAAACAGGTTTCGCACCACTTTTCGTAGCCTTGGGAGCAGCGTTTCAGGAGTCGGCGGGCAGTTTCCCAAACAGGTTTCGCACCACGTTTTGAAGGCTCCGGGAACAGATCCCCAAACAGGTTTTGCACCAGGAAACCTTGCAGTCTTAAGCATTCCCAGGGTTTCCCAACTTATTATGCTAATACTATATATCCTATTGCCGTGATACTACGTAATACCAAAACTAATACTAATACAAAAAAAGCAAACACACATGCCAATACTTTGCATGTTTGCTCTTGCTGTTTGCTGGTACTGCTACTGCTGCTCTAGTACTATAACTATTACCATAACTCTACCTATCATATGCTCTTACTACCACTAGCCCTGCCACTACCACTGCTACCACTACCACTACCTGCTGTCTGCAGTTTTGCTGGTAAGCCTGCCACGTGTGACGGCACACAGTGACGTATTGGCGCATGTGGTTGGCTCAAGCCATCGATATTCGAAACATTCCTCGGGTCGGATCTAGTTGCAGTGCTCTTCTGCCCTAATGGTGGCGGTTCCAATCTGCACTCCCGCGATGCAATACGGCGCAAACGCCGAGATGCATCCGCTGCCAGCCCCCATCCCGCCACAGTCACAACAGCAATGTGCAGCTTAGCTTGGATTCGTTTATCCGACCGCATTGAAGCCCCGGGCAAGGCAGACGGAAAGTAAGCACGCCCTGGAGCCTGAAGTTCCGAAGGTGTTAGTCACTTAGTCTTCAGTATCCAACTTTCGCTTGTCCAAAGCTGGACTGCTCTTTGCCGAAGGTAGTCGCGATGCTAGTTCCCGCTGGCCAGTTCCCATATGCGGCGACACAGCCGTCTATGATGTGCCAGGCGGAGAAGCAGCTTGTCCATCAAGGGGGATTTGTAGTGTCGCGGGCATTCGGGTTTATGCTGCAGGATACTTGCGGCGAGGTGATGCTGCAGGTGGCCGTTCAAGCGAGCTGCAGTATCAAGTTCGTGGAGTTCTAAAGTTTAGGCTGGATTCTCAACTCATGCAGGCTCGAGCTTAAACCCTACTCACCAGGCTTGCTCACACCGTGGCGGCACCTGCCAACTTCCAACATCCCCAAACAAAGCACAGTACGATCGAAGCCCAAGAAACAGGACCCTGTCGCTAACTAGGCGTTGGGCCCTCAGCCCACGGAAGCCTCTTTTGATTTGCTCCGCAGCTCTGCCGGCCTCAGAACCCCTCCGAACTGAGCAGAATTGGGACTTGAGACCAAGACCGGCTGAGGTTCGGACCTCAGGTGGCTCTGGGGCCTCCGGTGCCTCAGGAGTCGTAAAGTGGAAGCCCTGCGGGTTTGGTCAGGGGTTAGGATTTAGAATTTATGAGTTGAAGGATGTCGTGTTGATAGTAGTTAAGGTTCAAGCGATGTAGAGGCTTGTAGTACGATTCAGTACGATGCAAAAGCAGTGTTTACTCTTCGGCAACTGTATCTAGAGACAGGTTTGCCAAACTCGACCTGTCAAAACTTCCTGAAAAACAGGCCTCGCATGGGTACCCAGCGGTCCTAGCATTTTTTTCCTGGATGAGGGCACTCCTGAATGGTCTTTGCTTGATGGCCTTCGTTCTCTCGAGATACTTTGTGAGAGGAATTCAGGCCCTTTCAGTCGCAAGGGGAATCGCCGAGTACGCAGTCTAATGTGGTTACGTTTGCACGATCGACCATCAATCGTGCAGAGGACTGCATTGGGGTTTCGGAGCAGGCTTCCGATCGTATGTAAAAGTAGTTTCTGACGACTACATTGCTTTGCATCGCGATACTACTGCCAGTGCCAGCAAGACAACGCAGCACGCATGGTGAATATGGTGACGAAAACGGCAAGCACGTATGTCCGTACAGAAGAACTTGCTATCTGTCATTATCGTCCTCACCATGATGTTCGTGTTGTCAGTATCATCACAGCCATCCTCATCTTTATCGTCCGCCTCTGCCGTATCATCCGCATCATCAGCAGCATCGCCATCCACATCACAAGTGTGCGAAACACTGGTAGTGAGGAGTTGAGGGTTTAGCTCGGGGCCGGGCTACGCGCCTTCCCACCGGAGCTCAGACCAATCCATTGAGCTCTACGTTGGGGTTTGGACGGTTGGGGTTTCGAGTTCAGTGTTCATGTGTTCGCTTGAAAAGACTCCATGTCATTATGTTCAGTCCTCAACCAGCCAGGAGATCATGCACCCGAACATGCAGATGACCCCGGTCCTGAAACCTTTCCATGCACCTGGCGCGCCGACCTTAGCAATCAGGATGAGATCTAGGAAATCTAGCTCCAAACCGTTGAAGCCATAGGAGTGGTCTCAAGGAGCAGGATATCTGCGGGGCTTACAACCGGAGAGTCCGACCGACTGGTTTCTTCGATTCGAACAGTAACAAAAGTCCGCAATCCTGACATTGCCCGCCCCCCTCGGCCCCCTCTCCCTCGCCGAAGCGAAGACCCTCCGCACGCCTCACGCCGTGCTGGTCTTGATCGGTCAGATATCTCGACAGTCTATAGAAGTTCTAAATTGGGCAGCGCATCCATGGGTTGCAGGAACTTAGGAACCATGAAAGTGTTGGGCTTGTGGGGCCGTGATGACGCCTGCGGCGAAAAGCCCACCAGCACGCAGTACGTGGTCGGGCCAGAGTTCCAAGATCCTCGAGCTACCCCCCACCTTACCCGGAAGCCCTACTTTCTTCAGCCCCATCCGCAGACTGGAAACCAAGGGTGCTTCCCATGTCCTTGGCCCCGACATGCAAACCCCTAAGTGCGCGCATAGCGGCGGCCTTTTGAGGTCGGAAGCAGCACCTGCAGCCTCTCACTGGCAATTGTGAGCTTTGGGGGCCGTGCTGTTCGGGGTGCCTTTTGATGTGCAGCCTGCTGCGACTCTGCGAAGACACTGTATGACTGAACATCGTTGGAACTCCTTGTATTACGACAAGCTTCTGCACGCTCACGCTCGGAAAGTGCTCAGAGCGAGCTCCACATGTGCACATTCCTCGTGAGGGTGGGTTTTTCTACGACACGCAGTAGCATGTATCAGCGACGGTCGCAACAGCAATACCCAGGTCTTTACATATGTGTAGAGCTGTCGTTATTGCAATATAGCAATGGCAACTATGGCGGCAATGACAAGAGCACTTCGAAAACACAAGAGTAGAGCAGGAATACACCCTGGGCAACAATCGTCGTAGCAGGCTGAGGCAGGCAGGCAAAATGACGCATCTTTATTGGAGGAATCTACAGGTTCAAGACCTGATGCATCACGTGTCTGCGAAATCTGCAAAGCGATCAAGGATTCCTGTCATCCTCCTTAGGTGGACAGGCACGATGTTGGATCCCACATGAAAGTTTGGGGTTTGGGTTTAACTGTGGCCTTGCTTGGCCTGTGCTAAGGGAAACAAGGCATCCAGAGCCCAAAGCTGTTGGCAGTTTTGTCGACGCAAGACGGTGAAGCAGGGACAGGCTCCTTTCTGCCTGTCTGCTGTGACACCACTGTATCAGGTAGGCTCTCACAGGCGGAAGCCAAGCCATAGCGCTTCTGGATCGTGAAATCTTGGATCACCGGCCCCCAAGGTGAAGATGAACATGGTGCTGCTGCGAGCCCCGGTAGCGCGAGTACGATGCCGAAAGCAGCGTGTGCAGCAGGGTTCAGTAGAGCTCGTCTATCGTTCTTAGATTCTTGAGGCAAAACCGAAGCACTGTTCAATTCGAATCGCAGGTGCATGCTGTTGTGCCTGTGACTGTTGCAATGGTGTTTCCTTTGTCGAGCCAATGCTGTGTGTTGGGATTTGCGGTGTTCAGCCAGCATGTTCTGTTCTGTTTATGGCTAGACGACACTAGACGTTGCTGTTCGCTTCGCCACGCGACACCTTTCAGTTTGTGGGACAAGTGTTCCCTTCCAGTTGCCTGAAAGTGCCTTACTTAAAGCCCGCAAACCCTCCGCCGCCCCTCGCATGAACTCTAGAGTTGAATTCTTCGCCGAGGAGAGAGCTGCCATCTCCTCCCGACACTGCCTCGGAGGCTGAGCACCACGAGAGCCTCGCGCCTCGGCTATCGGAAACTTTGCAGACGCTAGGGACTGTTAACAGAGCTCAGCAAGGAAATGAACATGGGATCGCATTACGGGTGATAGAAGCAGTGTATTAGGGATCTTCGATGCATGGATGCATGGATTGCTCGCAGGATTCGGAAAGCTTCGACCCGTCTCGGGCCTGTGTAGCCGCCCAGGCCAAGCTGAGCACCAGCGCAGCGCGGCGGCTCCGGCGGAAGCGCGCCTCGCAGCGGGCCCTCACGCAAACCGCCGCACCGAAGCCCTGGGCCGGCACCGGCCAGGGCCCAAGCACCCGAAGAGGAGGGGGGAGCGGGAGCTGGCGGGAGGAGGTAGGAGGAGGGGTATGCGCTCAGGGCTTGGTGTGGTCGTCGGCCTGAGTCAAGAGTGAGGTCGGGTTTCGGGTTTCTCAAGCTGAATGGTCCTGCATGGCGGGGCCTCCTTAGCTGAGTTATGCCGAAAGTAGGAATGCCAGACATGGTCCTGCTTGAAATCTCTCCCCATGAAAGCCGGAATCAACCCCAAGACCTGGTCACCTACTGTGTAGGTCTGGAAAAAGATATGTCAGACTGACCCTGAGGCACAGTGTGGCAAGGGCCTAGGTTTTCTGTAGGGTGTTTGTAGGAGCTAAGGTGCCCTGTTGGCCTAGGCGAATACACCCTTAGTCTTGAACCGGGTTTCGGATAGAAGCTGGGGTCGAGCACAGTCGCTGTTCCTGTGCTTTCTTGGGAAGAGCATTCCATTTGTAGGGAATAGCAATCCATTTCAAGAGGTCCGATAGAGGCTGAGTCTACGAGAGTTCTCATGCGCTAGGCAGGGCAGGTTATCATTATGATTTCCTTGCCACAACACAGAAGCCCATAGCTAAAGAAGGCTGACAAACCTTGTCGACGATAGACGCGATACTGGAAGAGCAGGTCCGGTTGCCGTGGGTCGAGTGTGGATCCTTGGCCGCAGACCGGCAGTGCTTCTCAGGCTCGTCCCCGGCCCGTGGTTGGTTGTTTTTCAAGACAATGTTCTGCCAAACTGCCGGCTTACCACGCTCCTTTCCCGCTGCATGTCGCAAGGAGCTGCCGGCGTTCTAGAGCACACGGTTTGCGGGATGCTCCACCTAGGACCTAGCTGTAGACAGCTTCTTTCAAGGCACCTGCAGACGCTGTGGTCCTGAGACGAACCCGACGACCACAACGCACAATGCCTTCTAATCCAAGGAACCCAGTGACGGAAATCTTCGACTCCGCTGCGTACGAAGATCTGCAGCAGCAGCTGCAGGGAAACTCTGAGCAGATCTCGGCTGCCTTGGTGCTGTTGAAAGATCATGCGGCTAGGCATGACAATGAAAGTCAGCGGCCTCGAGTTCGGACACTTCAGGAGGTGTATCAGGTCTCATGCCTTTCAAATTTCAAGGGTTCGCGACCAGGCCCTTCGTTGAAGCGATGCAGTGAGAACGGATTCGCGTCATTCCCGTGACTTTTTGTGGTGAACCAGGCGCATGGTGCAAGGGCTCCAACTAAGCTGAGCTTTGTCGTCATGTTGTTCAGCCTTGCACCACATTGAACACCCAGGCAACCAAAGCGAACATCCCCATGCATTCACGGTTAAAGGTGTTTGTGCAAGAAACCAATAAAACTCACCAAGTGTGAACTTCTCAAATTTGTTGAATAAAGCCTCAACCAACTGTTGTAACCTAATTTAAGAGAAAAGTGAATCGCGTGATCGCTTACAATGCTGGCTTGCTAGCAAGCCCTGTCAAGGTTACACAGCCTTACATAACCCAAAAGGTTATGTGCTCCATCAGCACCATGCCCCACACCTAGGACCCGTCTGAGGGACTTCCGAATGCTCAGCCACCGTTGGGGACAGTCGAAGGCCCCAAACTTAAACGCAAACGAAATGCCCTACGCCTTGCAGCCCCAAGTCCGTACACTCACCTTTCGAGCTTAGGTTTGGGACCTGTCCTGCCATCCTATGGGTTGCCGCCTCATCCAGCTGGCGCTCGAGCGCGCGAAGCCCCGCACCTTGGCGCAGGGCTTATGATGCTATTTTGAGTCCCGGGCTTAGGCTGGTAAAGGGAATGGACGGGCCTAGGTCAAGGGTTTCCAGAGTGGTTCCAACTCATTGGTCGTGTTTTCTCAAAAAAATCGTGCTGCCTCGCTGCCCTCACTCAGTATGACAGCCCTCTGTCGTCCACATACAGCGGCTCGGTATACAGCAACCCATCGATCAGTCTTCTCAGGGGTTGCTAGAGTGAGCCTAGACGGTTTAGAAGCTTTACCAAAGAAAAGCCCAAAACACAGCAGATGAGGGTTCGCTTTCAGACGAGTGTCTCGCCTCATTTTTTTCAGGCTTGCGATCAGAGCAGGGTGGGCCTCACATGTTACACGCCGAAAACTGCCAAAATCCTGATATCCTGACTCCTGTTGCCAAGCCTTGACATCTTCTTCAAGGCTTGTTCCACCAGAGAAACAAGGTGTGGAGCAAAAAGAGAGAGACGTGCGCCGCGAGTGCCAATTCCCGGTGTAGGGGGTTGGTGAGGGCAAAAGTGCTGTCTCAATCAGCCGACCATGCCAACGTGCTGTCTGCACACTGTCTGTATCCCGAAAGTTGTTGTGTCAAATCCGATTCGCGATGTCTGGGTTCCTACATGCTTGCGGGGTTCCTACATGCTTGCTAGATTACCACCAAGCAGGGTCTCGATTCCTAAACATGCTGTGCGGATTGCGGAATGCGCGGTTTGAAAACCGAATGATACTGAAACGTCCTGGCTCGATTCCGAAACGTCTACCGCCTCCGTTCCCGCGCTCTCTCGCATCCATTGCTGAGCAAGCTGTACCGATTGCAGGTTTAGGCATGTGTGGATCGGATTGCGCAACAGGGTTGCTAATTTACTTTTGGTCGGTTGCTGCAGGTTCGGGCTTAGCAAAATCTGGCTTCTGGGTTTGAGTATTGAGGCTTGACGGATTGATGAACTTGGGATTTGGGCCTGGGAAGTTTGGTGGTTTATTCTTCGGATGTTTGCTTGCCGAGTCTCGATGGATTAGTCGGTCTGTGGTTGAAGTGGTGCATATTTTAGGGTTTAGAGGGCTTCGGGTTAGAGGGCAGCCTTGTGAGACACCAAGAACTCGGGTTTGCTAGATGCCCGAAGGCTGTTGATAGTGATCCGAAAGTCGTAAGTCGGATCCTCTCAAAACCCCGACCCTTACACAAACCTCGAAACCCCGAACCACAGTGGCCAAAATCCCGAGACCCTGACGGCGCTTCGAGGCCTTCGGGCCCTCGATCCCAGAGCTCCACAGCCCCAACCTTGCGAGGCGAAGCAGCCGAGCTGGCAAGCGAACTCCGAGGCTCCTCGGATGCCTTGTCCAGGATACGATCGGAAGAAGCAGTGGTGGGAATAGGTTTAGCAGAAGGATGAAGCATGGTGATAGCAATCGTCTTCGCCCTCGTAGTAGCAGTAGTAGTCGTAGGGGTAGTGAAAGTGGTCGTGGTAGTGGCGCTGGCACTGGCAATTGCGGTGGCGGTGATGGCAGTCGTAGTGGTAGTAGTAGTAGTGGTAGAGTCGTAGCCGTAGCCGGGCAGCAGCCGGAGCCGTAGCCGAAGTAGTAGTAGCAGCAGTAGTAGTAGTAGTAGTAGCAGCAGTAGCAGTAGCCGTCGTCGTCGTATTCGTATAGTAGTGGTGGTAGTCGCAGTAGTCGTCGTAGTCGTCGTAGTAGTAGTAGCAGCAGCAGCAGCCGCAGCAGTTGCAGCATTCGTTGGCAGCGGCAGTGACAGTAGCAGTAGTAGCAGAAGAAGAATTAGTAGTCGTCGTAGTAGTAGTAAGCGTAGTAGTAGTAGTAGTAGTAGTAGTAGTAGTAGTAGTAGTAGTAGTAGGAGTAGTAGTAGTTGTAGTAGTAGTAGTACGAGGTGCAGGAGTAGTAGTAGCAGTAGCAGCAGTAGTAGTAGTAGTAGTAGTAGTAGCAGTCGTAGCAGTAGCAGCAGGAGTAGCAGTAGCAGTAGCAGCAGTAGTAGTAGTAGCAGTAGTCGTAGTTGTGGTGGTAGTAGTAGTAGTAGTAGTATCAGTAGTAGTCGTAGCGGTAGTAGTGACTTAGTAGTAGTAATAGTAGTAGTAGTAGCAGTAGTAGTAATAGGAGTAGTAGTAGTAGTAGTAGTAGTAGTAGTAGTAGTAGTAGTAGCAGCGGTAGTAGTAGTAGCAGGAGTAGGAGTAGGAGTAGGAGTAGGAGTAGGGGTAGTAGTAGTAGTAGTAGTAGTAGTAGTAGTAGTAGTAGTAGTAGTAGTAGTAGCAGCAGTACTAGTACTAGTACAGGAGCGGGAGAGGCGACAGCGAGCACAGCTGGTGTCGAGATCTTCACGAAGAGTCAGAGAGGTCATTGGAGTGCTGACATCACCGTATGTCGGATATGCCGATGTCTCTGTCTATGCACATGTAGATGTGTATGTATGCATAGCTTTATGTCACTTTCATTCTGTATGTATGTGTATACACAGAGTGCAAATACTAGCCTGTACATGTATGTGTATGTGCACATACATACATATATACACATCACACACACACGCATCTGCATGAATATTCGTATGCATGTGCGCACACATAGGCACATGTATATTGTTCACACACATGTGTACACCGTGTACATATACTTGTATATATGCATACATATGCGCCTATATATATATATATAAACATAACTAAATATGTATGCGTGCATTTTACATACATGTGTACATAAGTGCATAGGTACGTGTGTATGTATGTACGTAGGCAGGTAGGTATGTACGTATGTATGTGTTCATGTACGTCTGCAGGCCAGCCTGCCTGCCTGTCTGTCTCCCTGTAGGTAGGTCAGCAGGTAGGTACGTCCTCAGTAGGTAGGTGGGTCGCTAGGGAGGTAGGTATATTCCTAACGAGGCCATGTCCGCGAGGCGCTGATGTCGCCGCATGCAGCCGAGTCGCAAACCAGACCAGCGTCCACGAGCTACAGCGACAGATGTCGGAGCCTTCTAACCTCCTAAAGATCAAGCCAACAAGTAACAAGATGTCGTTGACTTCCGATAATTCCCGGCATTGTGTTCTCTGAGGCGAACTACGTGGCACAGAAGATCGTGACTCAATTGTTCCCCGACGTACTTTGGAGTTACATCGCCACTGTCTGTTCAAGAAACCGAGTCGCGTTGAATGGGGTGAGGGCTTAGTTTAGCAGGTTAAAGCATGCCAAGTAAAGACCGTATCCCGGAATCCTGGATCCCTGCAGTGCATCAGAGCCCTCCTTAAACCCTCAACCTGAAGCTGCAAGGAATCTAGGAAGGGCCCCAGCAAAAAGCACAAAAAGCTCCAAGGACATGGAATGGCTGCAGTTTTGTTGCAGATGAACTGGAAGGTCTTGCGTCGAAGTTTGCTCGTCACCGATTTGGATGCCGTATTTTCTGCCGCTTGCTGCTCGACTGCCATAGCACTTTTGCCTGGTAGAAGTATCGCACGAATCATTCCATCGGAACAGAATAATCAAAGTCAGCGAAGATAATGTTGTTAGAAAGAAACAGATGGAATTCGGGCCAGGCTTTATTGGCATGACCGCTTGGAGGCTATTGCTAGAGATGTGTGAGTTTCGATGGTAAGTTATGAATGAAGAAGTCTTTAAAAGGGTTCGTGAGACTTTGTGGGGTGCCCATGTGGGACGTGTTCTATACACATCAGTTTTTCACTACGTGAGGGCATGTGCACACTGCATTCTGCTCATAGAAGGGGACACTGGCGTCAAACAGCCTTCTTGCGTCGTCCGAGCCTGCCATGCGGATGGTGGTCATGTTTTGTCGGGTTTGGAGCTGGAGGGCATCTCCGTTTCCGAGCAACTTCAAAGATAACACCTGCCCACCATTTGCACCAGTGGTTGCACTGGTCGTGTCAAGAATCACAGAGATGTTGCTTGCGAAGAGTCGCAGCAGCCGTCGAAACAAGAGTCCCGATTGGTGTGGTTCAAGTATAGTTACACATTTGCAACAAGGGCGCCCTTTGGCATTCCAGAAGAAAGTGCCCCAGCCTCGGACTTGCAAGCGAGGCTCGAGTTCTACGCATCGCAAGACGGCACCCAGCGCCTGGTGGACGAGGTACTTCAGGATCCGAGCTCCGGGTTCAGTGATTGAGGCTCAGGGCGTGCATGTAAGTTAAGGGCGAGGAATTCAGATTTCTGTCTTTGGCTCCGTCGTAGGAGCTAGAACTTCAGTGTCGGAGCTCCGGGCCTACGGAAGTTTCTGAGGAAAGTTCCCACAGGACCACACTCTCTCTCTCTCTCTCTCTCTCTCTCTCTCATTCTTCGTATTCTTCGGTCCTTGCCGTCCCTGCACATGCTTCATTTCTGGCTCTTTGTCCTGCATATATATATATATACACATGCCCACGTACTTACATACATACTTGGCTACTTACTTGCATTACAGTCTTACCTAATTACACATACATACATACATACATACATACATACATGTACACATAGGAACCTAGATCGGCATACAGACACTGTGCACACAAACACCAAGCACCAAACAGACATAACCGACGGCCGACGACAGTATGCGTGCATAAACAGGTATATGCAGAGAGATGTAGATGACATGTCTTTACGTGCCGCAGTCCACGGGTCTCTTATATGGCTACGTCATACATTATACTCTGTACGGTATTCGGTACATAGGCGCAGTGCTCATCGTGCCCGTCATCTTGCAGCAGAAGACACCATCAATCTCGAACAATTCCAGGGCAACAAGCAAAGCAGGCCTTTGCATACCTCCCTCATGTTTTTCTGATCTGGAGGCAGGCATCTTTGGCCGGAAACCGGCCTAACCACCTCAGCCTGTCTTCCCGCCTACTGAACTGCATCAGCATTCTCCTGGATGTAGACATGCCTGCCTTCCCGGAGCAGTGCGGCAGGAAGCAGAGGATTTGTGCTGTCATCCGTTCGGTCACCACGCCGCTTCGGCAGCTTTTGGTGTTCTGGATTCGCTTGGAACTTGGAACAGTACTGCTGAGTCGATTCAGGGCCGATCTACGGTTTCTGGACATGCAGTATCCTGCCCTCCTCCTCTTGCCCCATAACCTCCTCACCGTCATGGTCTTCATCACCATCATCGCTGCTAACTGCTAGCGTGACTCGTCTGTACTCTAGTTCTCTGGTGTCTTGCCTGATTTTTGCCTCGACAGCCAGGGATTACCGCTACAGTGATCGTAGACCTGCCAAGTCTGTGCCAGTGGCACGGCTATGGTGTGGGCATGCAGTATCGCGAACAAGCGGCAGTGTTGACAAGAAACAAGTTCATGTGATGGAGAAGAATTTGGAGGTCTTGCATGATGCAGCCGTTCGGGAATGTATCAGCCTATTCGCGGCGATTTGGAAGAACATCCGACCCAAATTAAGTTTCAGGTTGCCCAGTCCGTACTGGAGCACGGTACCGACCGCCACCGCGACGGCGTGGCAAAGACGATTTGCTCGAAACTTGGTTTTCGCAAGCCCTTCTGTTGGTTCTTCCTTCCACCTCTTCGTACTCGGAGATTAGGCACCCTCGTTATACTCGTCATGAACAGTGCACTGCTAACTACGACGACGGTTGGGGTCGCCAAACTCTGGTGGTTCATGTGTCATGAACCAGACCCACGGTGCCTTCAACGAATCAGCGCTAAACCACCAAACCTCGAAGTACTGAAGCCCAGCCCGAGACTCGAAACACGCATCTCCCCAAACAAACAAACCAGAAGCCTTGAGACCCTAATTGGAAAGCGGCTAAAGCCCAAAGCATCCCTACGGCCTAGGAATCCGATGGGTTTTGCCCAGAACCAGAACGCAAGTCCTTTGGCCGGCACGGAGGGCATCAGGAGTTTTGGATTGCAGGGCTGCCAGGAGATTCGGACTCCAGGCGTGTGGATTCGGGGTGAATCGCAATTTAGTTTAGTTGTAAAGCCTTTGAGATGTTTACGAGATTCGGCTTTGCACTTCGTTGAGGATCGGGCCGTGAGCTTTGGGTCTTGGTTGGAGGCTTCCTGATTCTCAGGTTACCTCGTGGAGAAGGTCCTGTCCTTCTGCTCGCCGCACTACCAGCACTCCCTGCTGCCGGTCTGCAATTAAACGTTTGTCTGCATTGATCCCTAGCCTCGAACTCTGAACCCCGATTCCCAAAGTCTGATCCCTCTCCTGTAAGCTCAAAAGCCCCACCCACAAACAGCAAATCCGAAGAGCGAAGCTGCAAGCGGCTTCCAGGCTGACCGAGTTGACCGAGTCGTTGGAAGAACTGGCTTTGTCAAGGTCTGCCGGCCTGCATGAATTCAGCTTGGACATGTATATAGTGCTAGCCGCATAGCAGGCGTAGCTGAACTCTGCCGCTCGATCAGCAGCATCATCATCCTCATCGTCATGGTCATCGTCATCTTCATCACCACCACCAGCACCACAATAGTAATCATCGCCGTCATCATCAGCATCATCATCGTCATCATAATTCCCATGATAGTCATCATCGTCGGCACCATCATCATCATCATCATCATGAGGAGTTGAACAAACATGATGGCATCGTCGTCACACCTGTCGGCGTGGGCACTGCATGAGGCTGCTAATGCTACATGATGTTGATGATGGTGGAGGTGATGGTGCGTGGTGAAGAAGATGCCGGCGATGTTGACGAAGACGGTCGCAGTTCATAGTGCTGATGATGGTGGTGGTGGCGGTGGTGGTGGTATTCGTGGTGCATAGCAGTAGTCAGTAGTGATGCTGGTGGTGTTGGTGCTGATGACCATGATTCTCATTGGTTTGTTTTACCGGTGTCTGTCTGGCCGATCGGCCTTCGGCTGTTCGGACATTGCTTCGCTCTTTGCCACCCATTCGGATGCAGGTATGGCTGCTACGTCGTCAGAGCCGTGGTGGAACACCCAGACGCTGTGCCGGATGTTTATGGTTGTCACAGACCTTAACCATGCCCGAGCCCGAGAATGTATCACAGGGGCCACCTTGCCGCTCTTGTGCTGCGATTAGAGTAGGCTTAATGGAGACGCATTGAAATGCGTACTACAGAGTTTGGGTTCAGAGTGAACAGGGTCTGGAGCCTGGAGGCCTTGAACATATCTCCCTTTGCGTGTTGGCTCCAAGGCCACTCGCTGAATCAGGCTAGATCTCTTGGAAAGAAACAAAGGGCAAAGGGCTGCAAAGCCTCTACAGCTCAGATCCGCACAAATCGTGCATAATCGTCATTCTACTCGAATCCGATTGTAAACCAAGAATCGACGGTATAGAGATGCTACAGCAGAAAGTAGGCTCAGCGATTATGACCCGTGCTGATCCCTAGACCTAGACCCTCTGAGCCATCTCAGCCCTCCTCAACCGCCAAAGCAAGGATACAGATCGATCCGTAGCAGTTGCTCGGCTGCGGAGCTGCACTGGCGAGCTGAGGCAGACGAACTGACTGGGCAGAGTTCATGGGTTCCTGACACTTGGGATTCCCTTGTAATTGGGTTTCCTTGGTATGAGCATCCTATTGTTTAGGGTCGAAACTTGTGCTTCGCATGAGATCCCATGTGGGTGGGTTTGTGGTTGAGGGTGAACGGGTGGCTCGCGGCCTTGTTTTGGGTGAGCCAACTCCTGAACCGGCGCTGTCTTGAAAAGGGCGGGTGCCGACAAGTTTTTGGAGTTCGCTGTTGAGAAGCGCTTCGGGGTCTATGAGTATGGGGTGTAGGATTTTGAGTGGTTTGAGCTTTTGGGACTTGGCTTGAGTGGGCTTACCGGCTTCGGGACTTAAAAGTGTTTGTGTCTCTCTTTGGGTTTTTTGGTTTGGAGTCCTAGGCCCTAGGTCGATAGGATTCGGATAATCAGGTCTGAGCTCCAGTGCGGTCGAAGATACTGTGGTAGCGCAGATAACAGCCACAACAAACCCAATAATCACAAAAACAACTGCAACGACAACAGCATCCTCATCATCACCAGAGATGCTGTTAAGCCTACTGCAGCAGCGGCAGCAGCCGCAGCCTCTGTCGTTTCGTCGCACGGATCATTCCATTGATACAGTCATGGTAGCAAGAGGCAGGATTCCTCATTCCTGCATCATCGTAACAATATGTTTTTGCGCTGCAGTATACGTGCTCCGCATTCCCGCTCCAAGTTGATGTGTGGGGTCATCCGGTCCCATCGGTGCCTGCTCGTCTGAGCTACGTATGTTTGATTATCTGCGTACAATCGGCATACCTAGTATTGAGCCCTTGTGCGACTGCGGTCGCGCCTAGAAGACATACCATGATCGCTCGTCATGTCAAGCCGCTGCTGTGGTGCTGTGTGTTTCTTCCACGTTCAAAACTCTATCATCTGTGCAGGCGAACGAAGCATGGCTCCCGGGCTGCAAACCATGATTCCCAGAGACCTAAATGTAAAAGTTGGGGCTTTTCAGGTTCATGGCGGGAAGCTAACAGTGCAAGCCTTGATCGACAATCCATCGACCCACATGTCGATCCTTCAGCAATTGTGGGCGCCCTCTTCTTTGCCAGAGCTCCCAGTTTCCATAAGGCCTAAGCACAAGTTTTTCCCAGGATGTATGGTTCGGCTTCTCGAAACTCAACACCCAACCGGGATGTGACGTCGACGTAACCGTCAGGACAGCACTTGATGACGGACTTGGGAATGCACAATCAGAGCCATGGGCGACGATCTCAGAATTGAGGTCAGCTGCTGCTACTTGGCCTTTTGCTTGAAGGTTCGGTGTGACTTGTCCTGCCATCATGGTTATTGGCCGCCGTCGTAGTGGAATGTACAGCTCATGTGCCAGCTCTGCCCAAAGCCCACCATGGCAACATTCTCAACAACAGCATCGGTTCGCTGTGTGCAAGAGTGGTGAAGATCAGCACCACCAGCAGTGTCACCAAGCAAGTGGCTCTCCCAACAGCAGAGTGCGAAGTAATGTTGCTCCACGACCGACAACAGCGACTGAGGTAAAAAGAGTTCCTAACCAAGACGACAATGTTGCTGATGGTCATTGTTACTATCGCCATCGCCTGCGATGTCGTTTACACGACTGTGGTAGCGGCACTGTGGTAGTGGCACTGGTACTGTGAGTGGTGGTAGCGGCAGCAGGACTGGGAGGAGTGGCCACAGTCTTGATCAGAGGAGGGGTTATTTCACTGGCTATGACGCGAAGTTCATGCTTAAGGGCACTCTTTGTGGTGGGAAGATTGTAATGATGTGCTGCCATGATGTCATAGTGCGAATGATAATGATGATGATGATGGTGCTGATGATGGTGCTGATGCTGATGATGATGGTGGTGACGATGATGCTGATGGTCATGACGATGGTGATAAAGAAAAATGAGAAGATGATGGTGGTGGAATGTTTCGTCACAGTCCCATTCGCGGTCGTGGTGGTAGGAGCGTCCTTCGTGTGCTCTGAGGTTCCGTGCAAGCTGCATCGGGAGACTTCCCCTGTAAGTCTTTGTAAATATTTGCCTGTGGCGGATCCTTGCAATCATGTGCTGCCTCCCTTTGTTGTAGTGGCGGTCACAAAACCTAAGACCAAACGCACTTCCTGGGCACTTGGCCCATCTTTTGCGCGGATCAGCCTCATATTTCCAGCTGCCAGTTGGAATCCCAAATTGGCGGCGGTCTTGCGTGGCACTGCCCACGCTCGACCACCTTCCTCGGCCTGCTGACACTCAGCAGTGCCCTAAGCATGCCGCCATCGTTCCCCCTGCAAAGAGCCCTGTCGCAAAGGGCTGGGCAGATCTTACATCCGACATAGGCTGTATTGGGGCACGGCTTTACAAGTGCGAAGCGGGGTCTAGCCTTTGACTAGGGCAACCCTGAGGGGAGCTGTTGGTGATGTGATTTCAATCTTTCGCCCCTGGCACAAAGCCATGGCACCTTTTCAGGTCTTGCAAGGAATCTGTATGCAGTTTCCCGGCCTTTGCCGCAGTCCGCAGGAGATAAGGGGCTGGCCTCCCACCTCTGGAGCACTCGCTACGAGCCCGTGAAGAGCTCGCGGTGCAGAGGGCTTTCCCAGTCAATACCCACGGCGGGGGACCCTATTTTTTTTAGCCCTTTTTTTTTTTTTTTTTTTTTTTTTTTTTTTGTTGGCCCCGCCGCGGGAAGGAAGGAAGGAAGGAAGGAAGGAAGGAAGGAGGGAAGGAAGAAGGAGGGAAGGAGGGAAGAAAGGAAGGAAGGAAGTAAAGGAGGCAGGCAGGCAGGGAGAGAGGGGCCCTGCCGCGGGAAGGAAGGAAGGAAGGAAGGAAGGACGGAGTGTGTATATATATATATATAGTATATACAGTATGTGTAGTATAAACGGTGTATACAGTATGTATGGTAGATGTAGTAGATATAGTACATATATATAAATACATAGTATATATATATAGTATATATATAGTATATATATATAGTATATAAAGTATATATGTATATAGTATATATATATATATATGTCTGGTATATATATCGTATATATAGCATATACGGTATTTTTATATATATTATATATATAGTCTATATATATAATATGTATATATAATGTATATAGTGTGTATATATAGTATATATATAGTATAAGTAGTATATATATATATATATAGTATATATAGTATATATAGTATATATAGTATATAAAGTACGTATATAGTATATATAGTATATATACTATATATAGTATATATAGTACATATAGTATATATATATATATATATATATATATATATATAGTATATATAGTATATATACTATATACAGTATATATAGTATATATAGTATATATAATCAATATGGTATATATAGTAAATAAGAAGGAAGGAACAAAAGAAAGAAATCAATAAAGAAAGAAAGAAAGAGAGCCATGCAAGAACTAGAGAAATAAACAAATAAAGGATGCTACAAGTAAAAAAGAAAACAAGAATAGAGAACTAAGTAAATAAAGAAAGCTATAAGGTAAGAACAAAGAAAACACAAGGGAAAGAACCAAAGAGAGTTAGAAACAAAAACAAAACAAACAATGAAGAAATAACCAAAGAACAAAAACAG